ATGTTACAAATGAAAAAAAATCCCCAGCGGGAGACGAAATGTTTGCGTTATTGTTTAATGAAACAATTTGATATGGTAAAAATTAGTACAGATCGCTTATTAATTTTTGAAATATATAAATATTTTGCTCTGAACTTAATAAAAGCTAACTTACTATACTATCAGATGAACGAAAGTGAAACTGAAATTGTGATCGATAAAGCTGTGGAATTAATGAGCATGGGAATACAAAATAAATTAGGGGAAAAAGAATTAAAGGAATCAGCTGAAACATGTGCAGTAAAGGCCAAAAAAATTACTGATAAGTAAATCATTGTAACCTAAAATAATTCCTAATATGATATATTATTCTCTTTCATTAAGATGTGAGTTGGGATATGTTTTCAGTATGTGCGTTGTAGAGGAGCTTGAGAAACGAGGGTTCAAAATGCCAGAAATCAAGGAGTGAATGTAAATTTTTATTTCTATGAAAGGTCTAGTACACTAGCGAGTTTTTAATTTGGTATGAAATAAAATAACCTTTTCATAATTATTTTAACGAATAATAATGTTTTTTAATATAATATAACAACTTATTTGTTCCTAATAGAAACATAATAAATTAATTATTAAAAATGCTCCTTAATAAACTTAATTAATATATAACTATAACTATTATTTTAAAGATTGCTACTAGCCTGGCTGATATAAAAACCCTTAGTCCTCTACTATTAGTGTTTGCATCGACATTATGCAAAATTCCATAGGAAACTTTTTTTTTGACTTGTTAAAAATAGTTTTTCTACTATTTATACAGAAGCACCAATCAAAAGTAGTACTACTGATTTAACGATTTTTCAAAAAACTAAATGCTTGCAATATTCAGTGTATTTTATTTTTCAGTATTCTATCTATTCAGTATATCTATATATATTATATATAGCGCACTTCATTGTACTTGTCTTGTTGTATGGTAGAAGACTTCATAAGAATGATTCTAACATTAAACTGTACTTCAAGGTAACATCTTTAGCACTACATTTAATTTGATGTATCTTTTATATAGCTTTAGAATCACAGAAAACTTTTTATTTGACAGCTTCTTGAAAAAAGGATGATAGTTGTTTGGTATCTTAATTGTTTAACTTTAAATATTGTTTCCTAATTTAAGAGATATGTAAATATATAAGAGATTCATGATTAAGATTTTCGATAAAAAAGTATATAATTTGAAGTAAAAGTCTGACAGTCTGGAATAAAGTTTCTGTTATGTTCACATTTAAAATAAAACATCGAAATAGTGTCGAAGATTTTGTTGGCAAATAGATGGCACTGTATTAATTCATTGCACAATCAGAGACTAGGTCTCTCTAATCAGAAAAATCTATTAACATATTAAATGGTGGAGTTCTATAAAGTTTAAAAAATCACATCTCCGCAATGTAGGCTACTCATTTATTATATTATCATATATTATACTGGAGCAGGTATCTACTAGTTTTAAAATTACTTAATTAACTACTAAAAAAATTGTTTTAATTTTTAATGGTTAATAATTATAATGAATTGTAGATTAATTGATATTTTTTTTTTGTTTATAGACATATTTATATATTTATATAATATAAACTAAATAATATAAATTACCTGATTTATGTTCATAAAATTAACGATTATACACAAAATAAGAAAAAAAGTTTAATTATTATAATCTTGATTATTAATTTGGAATTAATAATTTTGAACTACAATTTGTTATGTTTATAATAGGAGAGTGATATATATCTCGATGTTCGTGTTATGTTCAAGTAAAAATTAGATTATCTATATTTTAATAAGAGCCAAACATGATATTTTTGTCTTATTTATTCAATAAAAATTTCTATAAATTTCATTTCAATTATTGAAACTCAAACAGTGTTCTGAAAGTGAGTCCAGTTAAATATTATATTTTTAAGATATAAAATTTAATTTAATTAAGTTGGGTTGAATATCAAAATTTTATGTTTTATGATTTTATTTGTATCTTTAACTAAGGTATATGAAATAAAAATGGAATATTTAAATAAATAAAGAAAAACTTCATGACTAATATAGGCTAATGAAGACGAAGAAACTCTTTTGGATATAGATGATATGATCGATACGTAGGAATCTTTTACTTCTAATTGTGAACCAAAAACTAAAAAAGGTATTACCGATTTTATTCTCTTTTTCAAGTTTTAAAATATTAACTATTATAAAGCCATATATTTTGTTTAATTTAATTTAATTTAGATTTAATTGTTGTCAATTTGTTATTAATGAAAGTCACCAAATAATATAGTGATCATATATTATTCAAATATTCTCTAAATGCTGTATATTAAATTTTTTGATAAAATTCATAATTTATTCAAAATTATTCAAAATTGAATTCATCTATTAATCTATTATACAAGAGTATTACCTGTATAATTATTATATAACTATATAAAATAATGTATATTATTTTCTTGATTTCGTTCCTGTAAAGAACACATAAGAGATATGTTACTAAGGATTAATAATGACCGACGGGAGATAAAATGTTTGCGATATTGTTTAATGAAAAAATATTATTTGGTAAAAATTAGTACATATCATTTATTATTTTTTAAAATATATAAATATTTTACTCAACTATACCATCACATGAATGAAAGTGAAACTGATATATTAATCGATAATACTGTGGAATTTTATAACATTGCAATACAAATGAATGAATATGATATAAGGGAATTCGCTATAATATGTGCAGACAAAGCCAAAAAACTTACTGATAAGTAAATTATTGTAATTTAAAATAATTCCTAGTATATTATATTATTCTGTTTCATTAAGATGTGAGTTGGCGCATCTTATGGATGATTGCTTAGTGGAGAATATTGAGATACGAGGTTTCAAAATTCCAGAATTCAAGGAATGACTGCAAAGTTTTAATACTATAAATGGTCCTTTTTCAAAAAAAAAAATATCTTGATAATATAATGTACTTATATTAAAGTAATAGTGACTTTTTTAATTAGGTGTGGAATAATATATTTTTTTTCAATTATTTTAACGAATAATAATTTTATTTTAATATAGTACTACAATTCATTTGTTCCTAATGGATAACACAATGAATTATTTACTAAAAATGCTCTTTAATAAAAATATTATCATAACTATTATTTTAAAGACTACTATTAGTCTAGCGAATATAAAAATCATCAGTTCCTTATTATAAGTGTTTGTTACTAAATTATAAGGGATTAAGAGCCTTTAACAAATACATCTTATTGTAAAAAATTTGATACCTTAAGATTAGCCCTAGGTTAGGTTGGTTTATTTTCACTGAGGCATAGCCATGCAGAGACCTCTTAATCTCTAGCGATGTCTAACATGCGCGTGGTAAGTAGTTTAGCAAGTAACTGAATTCAGCCACCTCCCTGGTTATTGTACGTCATATGATCTAATATATCTCGCAATTTAGTACCTATTTGTTGGTGTACATTAAAAAAAAAGTTCCAAATAACTTTGATAGTTTTAGTGCGATCATAATATTTTTTGACTTATTAAAAGTAGTGTTTCTACTATTTATATAGGAACACAAGCCAGCAGTATTACTTCTGTTTTAACGATTTTTTTAAAAGCCTCAATGCGTACAATATTCAGTACATTTTATTTTGTTCTAACTTTCTAGTATTTCTCTATATATTATACATGTCGCGCTCATCTATCAGTTAAACAAAGGCCACATTTTTAAAATCTCCATCATGCTTGTCTTGTTGTATGGTGCAAAACTTCATAAGAACCATTCTAACGGGGCAATTGTGGCAATGGTCCTTTAAAGTCTTACGTATGATCTTTGTAAAACCGATCGCAAGACTGTTTGTAAGACATCATCTATTCTGGCACAAAAATTCTTCAAAAAAGTTTTATCATGTATAATTCGTGGTAGAAAACTGTTTTGTTCTATTTATTTCGTGGTGAAATCAAAAACAGCTTTTAATTGCTACCGTATGCAAGTAAACAATGGAATTTTAATACAATTGTGAAGAAAAGCCGCAAAATATATCTTTAATTATTAATATTTTTTTTATACATAAAAAATTATTTACTGAATTTAACTCATGCCATGAAAGAAATAATACCAGATATTGCTGCATTAACAATAGTGACAAAAAAATTAATTAGTTTTAAAATAAAATATATATATAAATAGATGAATAAATCAATGTTAAATGAAACATTTTCCAAAAGATCTTTTGGAAGACTTTTGAGTGTGGTGAGTTCCAAAATCGTTGCCAGAATTGCTCTGTAACATTAAATCGTAATCCAAGGTAACATCTTTAACACTACATTTAATTTGATGTGTCTTTTGATTAGTTTTAGAATTACATTTTCACGTTTTCAGATTTGAAGGTTATATAAATATATAAAGAACCGTACATATATTCTATCAACTTTTGGTTTATGATTAGATTTTCGATAACAAAGTATATAATTTTAAATAAAAGTATTCGTTGTGTTTCATTATGATTGGGAGTCACAAAATTTTAAAGAGTATTGTTAACGAAGACTGAATTGACAGTCTGAAATAAAACATCGGTTATCTTCATAATTTGTGTTATATTCAAATTTATATATTATAGACTAAATAATATAAATTACTTGATTTATGTTCATAAAATTAACGATTATACACAAAATAAGAAAAAAGTTTAATTATTATAATCTTGATTATTAATTTGAATTTATATAGTTTAAAATTAATGATGTTTATATTATAAAAGAGATATATATCTCGATGTTTATGTTATGTTCAAGTAAAAATTAGATTATCTATATTTTAATAAGAGTTAAACATGATATTTTTGTCTAATTAATTCAATAAAAATTTCTATAAATTTCATTTCCATTATGTGAAATTTAAACAGTGTTCTGAAAGTGAGTCAAGTTAAATATTATATTTTTAAGATACAAAATTTAATTTAATTATAAGGTTGGAGTTTCTGTGATTGTGTATCTGGGACTAAACTGAGATGAATATCAAAATTTTATGTTTCATGATTTTATTTGTGTCTTTAACTAAGGTATATAAAATAAAAATTGGATATTTAAAAAAATAAATAAGAACTTCATGACTAATATAGGCAGATGAAGATGCAGAACCTCTTTTAGATATGGACGATATGATCGAAGTTTTTGAAACTTATACTTCTAATTGTGAACCAAAACCAAAAAAAGGTATTATTGATTTTTTTCAATTTTTTAAATTTTGAACCATTAACTATTACAAAACCATATATTTTGTTTAGTTTAATTTCGATGTAATTGTTGTTAATTTGTCGTTAATGTAAGTCACTAAATAAGATAATGATCATCTATTAATCAAATACTCTTCGAATACAATATAACATAAATAATAAATTTTTTGAGAAAATTCAAAATTCATTCAAAATAGAACTCATCTACTAATATATTATACAAGAATATAGTATAACCTATGTAATCTGTATATATTTATTATTTTTTTAATCTCGTTCCTATGAAGAACACATAAAGGAAATGTTGTTAAAGAAGAGAAATCCTCAGCGGGAGACAAAATGTTTGCGTTTGTGTTTAATGAAACAATTTGAGATGGTAAAAATTAGTATAGACCATTCATTACTTTTGAAAAACATTAATTACTTGCTCTGAATTTAATTAAAGCTAATTTACTTTACTATCAGATAAATGAAAGTGGAATTGAAATTGTGATCGAGAATGTTGTAGAATTTTCACATAATCATACGCAAATTAAGGCAAAAGAATTAAAGGAAATCGCTGAAATATGTGCAGAAAACGTCAAAAATCTTACTGATAAGTAAATTATTGTAATCTCAAATAATTCCTAATATATTGTATAATTGTGTTTTATTAAGCTGTGAGTTTGCACATCTTTACGATCAGTGCTTAGTAGAGGAGCTTGAGAAACGAGGTTTGAAATTTCCAGAAATCAAAGAATAAGTGTAAATTTTTAATACTACGAAAAGTCCATATTCAAAACAAACTATAGCTTGATTGTACCTATAATGTACTTATATTAAAGTACTTTTTAATTAGGAATAAAATGAAATAACCTTTTTTTAACTATTTTAATAAATAATAATTTTTAATTAATATAGTAATAGAATTCATTTCTTCCTAATGCATAACACAATATTATTTACTGAAAATGCTCCTTAATAAACTTAATAAATATATTATAATTTAGTCCTTTATTAAAAGTGTTTGTTACTAAATTATGCGGCATTAAGAGCTGCTAACAAATATATCTTATTGTAATAAATTTGATACCATAACTTTAGCCGTAGGTTAGATTAGTTTAATTTCACTGAGGTATAGCCATGCACAAATCTCTTAATCTCTAGCGATGTCCACGTGTATGTTGGTAAGTAGTTTAGCAATCTATTTATCTACTATGGAGACTTATGTTAAAAACTCAACCATAAATCACCAAAATGATGTTAACCGAAAATTCGAAGTAAAATCTCTTTTGTTAACAGATGTTACCTCGAATTTTAGAATGCAATTTTTATATAAACTGGTTTACTACAATAATCCTTAACGCAAAAGATGAGGAGTCAAGCGAACCGTCCATATCAACAGCAAAACGAATTATTCATATAAATAAAGTTATGTGGTGCATGTGGTAAGATCAGAAAGCAAAGACGCTGCTGGAACTGCTAAAATTGAACCATGTATTAAACAAAAAACGACCAGTCAAAAGCTATGAGTGGCGGGAACTGTAGAGCGGTAGCCAAAAACAAACAATGTTAAAGAAATGTTATGCATCTAATTAAGCACCTTTCTAAATAAATTAGAGGATAATAAAGGGTACTGAGGTTATTTATTACTTTGAAAGAATTAGGAAACCATTATGTAGTTGATATGAAATCAAACCAGTTTTGTTAAATAAAATATTGAAAGGTTCCTAACATGATATCATTATTAATGACTATATTTAAATGTATAGTCAGTTTTGATGATAAATCCGTAATTGATATTTGATGTAAGTTATAAAAATTAATCTCATAATTTATATTATTTGGACCTTTTTTCTTTTACGCTAGATGTCCTCCAAGCTTATATTTTGAGATATCAGGTTTTGAAGTTGAAATTTTTATATAAAAACTCCCTGTATTTTGATTTGTTGTGTTTTTATCCTAGTATTATTGTTTAATCCACTTTTACTCTCTTACGGAGTTGATTAAATTGATATCCCAGAATCTGGATTTATTTCATACTGCGGGGTATATTTTCTTAGAATTATATTTTGATGAGACTACATTTTTTAATTTAATCTGAATCACTATATCACAAGCTATGCAGCCGTAAAGTATGCTTGAACTGATTACTTGTTTATATAGTCGGACTTTGTTTATGATACATATTTTTTTGAATCAAAGTTTTAAATTACATAAAATCATTATCTTCTTATATACTCATTCAATAAAAAATTTTCATCGTAAGTTAGTCCAAAGCATTTAACTATTTTACTCATCCATTCGATGAAGAAGTTATTTATTAGAAATTTCTTGAGCATGATTTTCTTTTCCTGGTGAAAAGTATAGCTTATATTATTATAGATTATCTCTGCATTAACTTTAATTTTTTACTTTATCATATATTAATATAATGTATGTATATCTCATTTATTACACCTGTAAATTATTTATGATGAACTCCGCGATTTCATCGGCGATCGAGATGCAAATATTGATATAGTTTCTGTCCCCATTTCGAAATGCTACGTCTGCATTTCATCGTTGTTATGAGGAAAATTTAAAATATTCCAGTTTTAATTTTGTTTGTTGGAGAACAGTGAACTACGAATTTGACTTCAAAGTCTTTGTTATTTCAGAAATTGCTAATAAGTTTCAGTAGGTTACCTGTTATTTGTGGATCAATCTATAAATCTTATATACTGGATAGAGTTTGAAGGCAAGTGTGATCGATGTTAATAATTTATAATTTGAAACCTTGATATTTCGAAAAGTGATCTTTATCGGCGTAAAAAAAATTATCAAAATGAATGACTACAGAAATTTGTTATCAAATTAGAGCACTACGAAGGCAAGAATTGCGACTTAGTGCTCGTCTTGAGAACTATATATAATACTAAACTTAATTTAATATATTGTGATTAGATTAAGATTCACATAAAAAACTTTCTCTGATAGGTTTCTAACAATAGATTGACAGTGGACTTCATAGCTAAATTGACTAACTTTTAATAACGTTTTCAGATTTAAAGGGTATGTAATTATTTAAGGGACCGTAAATACATTTTATTAAATATTGATTTATAATTAGGATTTTCGATAATAAAGTATGTAGTTTTAAATAAAAGTATTTGTTTTCATTTTGATTAAGAGTCACATAATTTTAAAATGTGATTATGTTTATATTAAAAATAAAATATTAAAATTATGTCGGAAAATCTTGTTCCACTATTGACAAATAGATAGATCTTTATATGCATATATTTGTATATATATAGATAATTAATAAATAATTAATGTTATATGAAACTTAACAATTACACATGAAATATAAAATAAATGTTTAATTATTATAACCTTGATTATAAATTTGAATTTATTTTATTCTAAATAAATAATATTTATATTATGAAAGAGATATATTGTACAGCTCGATGTTCATGCAAATAAAAATTAGATTATCTTTGTTTTAACAAAAGCGAAACATGATATTTTTGTCCAATTAATTCAATAAAAATTTCTATAAATTTCATTTCAATTATTGAAATTAAAACAGTGTTCTGAAAGTGACTCGAGTTAAATATTATATTTTTAAGATACAAAATTTAATTTAATCGTAAAGTTGGAGTGTGTGTGACTGTGTCTCTAGGACTAAACTGAGATGAATACCAAAATTTTGTGTCTTATTGTTTTATTTCTGTCTTTAACTAAGGTATATGAAATAAAAATAGAATATTTAAAAAAATAAATAAGGACTTTGTGACTAATATAGGCAGATGAAGACGAGGAACCAAATCTGAAAATGGACGATATTATCGAAGCGTTGGAACCTTTTACTTCTAGTTGTGAACCGAAACCTAAAAAAGGTATTACTGATCATCTTCTCTATTTTAAATTTTGAACTATGAATTATTGCAATTTAACTGTTGTCAATTTGTCTTTAATGAAAGTCACCTAATGATCATATCTTAATCAAGAAGAGAGTATTCAATATACATATTAAGTTTTTTTTGCAAAATTTGAAATTTCTTCAAAAATGAATTCATCTATTAATGTATTATACAATAATATGGACTATATAACTATTATATGTATATATAACGGTATAATATAATATATATTATTTTCTTGATTTCATTCCCGTGAAGAACACATAAAGGAAATGTTACAAATGAAAAAAAATCCCCAACGGGAGACGAAATGTTTGCGTTATTGTTTAATGAAACAATTTGATATGGTAAAAATTAGTACAGATCGCTTATTATTTTTTGAAATATATAAATATTTTGCTCTGAACTTAATAAAAGCTAACTTACTATACTATCAGATGAACGAAAGTGAAACTGAAATTGTGATCGATAAAGCTGTGGAATTAATGAGCATGGGAATACAAAATAAATTAGGGGAAAAAGAATTAAAGGAATCAGCTGGAACATGTGCAGTAAAGGCCAAAAAAATTACTGATAAGTAAATCATTGTAACCTAATATAATTCCTAATATGATATTTACTTCTATTTCATTAAGATGTGAGTTGGGATATGTTTTCAGTATGTGCGTTGTAGAGGAGCTTGAGAAACGAGGTTTCAAAATGCCACAGATCAAGGAGTAAATCCAAATTTCTGTTACTTCAAAAAGACTAGTATACTAGTAACTTTTTAATTTGGTATGAAATAAAATAATCTTTTCTCAATTTTAACGAATAATGATTTTTTTTAATATAGTTTTTCATTTTATTTGTTGCTCTTTGAAAAATGCTCCTTAATAAACTTAATAAGAATATTACTATAACTATTATTTTAATGATTACTACTAGCCTGTCTGATATAAAAACCATTAGTCCTCTACTATGAGTGTTTGCATCGACATTATGCAAAACTCCATGGAAAACTTTTTTTAACTTGTTAACTTGTTAAAAATAGTTTTTCTACTATTTATACAGAAACACCAATCAGAAGTAGTACTACTGATTTAACGATTTTTTAAAAAACTAAATGCTTGCAATATTCAGTGTATTTTATTTTTCAGTATTCTATCTATTCAGAATATCTCTATGTATTATATATAGCTTCACTTCATTGTGCTTGGCTTGTTGTATGGTGCAAAACTATATAAGAATCATTCTAACATTAAACTGTACTTCAAGGTAAGATCTTTAACACTACAACAATTTGATGTATCTTTTGATTAGTTTTAGAATCATATAAAAGTTATTTTATGACAGGTTCTTGACGATAGAATGATACTTGCTTGATAGCTAAATTGTCAAACTTTGAATAATGTTTCCTGATTTAAGAGATATGTAAATATATAAGAGATTCATGATTAAGATTTTCGATAAAAAAGTATATAATTTTAAATAAAAGTCTGACAGTCTGGAATAAAATTTCTGTTATGTTCACATTTAAAATAAAACATCGAAATAGTGTCGAAGATTTTGTTGGCAAATAGATGGAAACTGTATTAATTCATTGCACAATCAGAGACTAGATCTCTCTAATCAGAAAAATCTATTAACATATTAAATGGTGGAGTTCTATAAAGTTTAAAAAATCACATCTCCGCAATATAGGCTACTCATTTATTATATTATCATATATTATACTGGAGCAAGTATCTACTAGTTTTAAAATTACTTAATTAACTACTAAAAAAATTGTTTTACTTTTTTGTGGTTAATAATTATAATGAATTGTAGATTTATTGATATTTTTTTTTGTTTTTACACATATTTTTTAAATGATCAAAATTATGTTAAATTTAAAATATGCATTACATTAAATATTGATTAAAGAATGGATTAAATGTTATACATAAAATAATTAATTATTATTTATTGTAACCTTGATAATTAATTTGAATTTATGTAGTTCAAAATTAATGATATTTATATTATGAAAGAGATATATATCGCGATGTTTATGTTATGTTTAAGTAAAAATTAGATTATCTATACTTTAATAAGAGCTAAACATGATATTTTTGTGTAATTTATTCAATAAAAATTTCTATAAATTTCATTTCAATTATGTGAAATTCAGACAGTTTTCTGAAAGTGAGTCAAGTTAAATATTATATTTTTAAGATACAAAATTTAATTTAATCGTAAAGTTGGAGTGTGTGTGACTGTGTCTCTGGGACTAAACTGAGATGAATACCAAAATTTTGTGTCTTATTGTTTTATTTGTGTCTTTAACTAAGGTATATGAAATAAAAATAGAATGTTTAAAAAAATAAATAAGGACTTTGTGACTAATATAGGCAGATGAAGACGAGGAACCAAATCTGAAAATGGACGATATGATCGATACGTTGGAACCTTTTACTTCTAATTGTGAACCTAAACCTAAAAAAGGTATTACTGATTTTATTCAATTTTTCACGTTTTAAACTATGAACTATTACAAAACCATACATCTTGTTAAGTTTAACTGATGCAAATTTTACTGATGCAAATTTGTCTTTAATGAAAGTCACCTAATAGCATAATCATCATATAATAACCAAATACTCTCTGAATATAATATATTAAAATTTTTGACAAAATTTGAAATTCATTCAAAAATGAATTTATTTATTAATGTATTATACAAGAATATGAACTATATAACTATTATATGTATATAAAACTATAAAATATAATATTTATTGTTTTCTTGGTTTCGTTCCTATGAAGAACACATAAAGGAAATGTTACTAAGGAAAAAAAATCGACAGCGGGAGACGAAATGTTTGCTTTACTGTTTAATGAAAGGATTTGATATGGTAAAAATTAGTAAAGATCGTTTATTATTTTTTGAAATGTTTTATAATTTTTTTTACGATACTAACAGATGAATGAAAGTGAAACTGAAATATTGGTCGATAACACTGTAGAAGTTTATAACCTTGATAAGCAAATGGCTGATAATGAAGTAAAGGAATTCGCTGAAATATGTGCAGAAAAGGCCCAAAAACATACCGATAAGTAAATCATTCTAATCTTAAATAATTCTTAATATATTGTATTATACTGTTTCATTAAGGTGTGAGTTGGCACATCTTTTCGATCTGTGCTTAATAGAGAATATTGAGAAACGTGGTTTCAAAGTTCCAGTAGCCGAGGAGTAAATGCAAATTTTTAATTCTATGAAAGTATCAATTTTCAGTACAAACAATAACTTGATGATATATAAATTAAAGTACTAGTGACTTTTTAATTAGGTATGGAATAAAATAACCTTTTTTCAATTATTTTAACGAATAATAATTTTATTTTAATATAGTATTACAACTTATTTGTTTCTTATCGACAACACAAGAAAGATATTATTCAAAATGCTCCTTAATAAACTTAATAAAAATGTTATCGTAACTATTATTTTAAAGACTACTACTGATCTGGGTAATATAAAAACGGTTAGTTCTCTATTATGAGTGTTTGCATTATGCGTTATCGGCAATATGCAGTATTATTAAGAAGTTTAAACGAATATATTCTATTGTAATACTTATGATACCTACTAGGTTAAGTTGGGTTAATATCACTGCTCAAAAGTCCTACAGATACTCTTTAGACTCCAGTGATGTTTTACATATATGTGCCGGTTTTAGCAAACTATTTATCTACTATCGTGACGCATGTTAAAAATAATCAGACAACTGTTTGCAGCTGCCTCCCTGGTTATTTTGCTTTTTATGATTTAACATTTCTCTCAACTTATATATAGTAGCTAACTATTGATGTACAGTAAAAGAAAAGTCTTATATAAGCTTCATTAGCTTCAGCGATTCGAAATAAAATCTCTTTTAGATGTTTCCTTGGATCTTAGTAGCCATTTTATAAATAGAGCTTCAACTTCTGTAAAATATAAAGCACGCGATGAAAAATAGGTTTACTGCAATAATCTTTAACGTAAAAGAACCAGGCGAACCGTCCATATTAACAGCGAAAAAAAAATTATTCACAGAAATAAGATTATGTAGTGCATTTGGATTAGATCAGAAAGCAAAGGCGCTCTTTGAACTGCTAAAATTGAACGTAACTATTACTGCTGAGCATTTCCAATAATACTTGATAGATTTGAACCATATATTAAACCATAAAATCACCGGTTATAACCAACAATCAATGTGAAGTGATTTTACTGCACGGCAATACTCAACCATTAATGGAAAATTCTTCCGCTTGCACCCAATTTTTTATGGTTTATTTCATTAGATTCATAATTGTGCTAATAAATACAAAACGCTCTTCAACACTTGCACTTCAGAAACCACGAAGAAATCAAAAAACTACTCTATGCATAGATTACATTAAAAAATATGAATTTTTTTTTCTGAAATACATAGAGTTTCAGAAAAATCGACGAAAGTCTTAACAAAGTTTTGAATAAATATGTTATCTTTAATAAAATAAAATTCAACGTTTCCTAAGTTAAAACCTTTTTGTAAATTAAATTATTTAATTTATATATAATTTATATATTGTAGAGGTTTTTTATGATTTCTTTTAATTCGTCTAGGCTGTTCCTGATTGTTTGATACTACTGATCATGAATATTTTACTTTTATTTAATAAAATTTCTACATTTGAAGAGGATTGAGATTAAAAGTAGGTGTACCACTGTACTGTATTGAACCGAACTAAAACATATATGCATCTTGAATTCAGTTCCAAATTTCACTCCCATAAATATATCAGCTATTTTTGAAATATCCGAAAATTATAATTTGAAATATGTCTGTAAAGGATACCATTGTGTTTGTATTTTTATCATCTGATATCATTTTATTAAGAAATAAAATTGTTTATCGGCTAGCAGGCAAACAATTTTATTTCTAAATGTTAAGGATACCATCTCAATTATATTTCAGTGAGTTCATAGTATTCTTCTGTACTACTAGTCAGGATTGCAACACGAACTGTTAAGCGAAATCTGTTAATTAAATATTCAATATTCGAAACCCAAACACTAATTGACCCAAGATCAAAATTTTAAAAATGGGTCAAGCGCAGATCTAGCTATTTTGCACGTGATAGGATCCATGATTTGTTTTATTTTTATTTCATATACATTTATTTATTGTATCTTCTCTTACAAAGAGACTAACAATAAGTTTTAAAATGTTATTACTAATTACACAATATTGCAATTTTTATTTTAATTATGTATACATGCTATAATATTTTATTACGTACCTCACTAAAATCAAAGAAAATAATTGAGCTTTATCAGATCACTAAGAAAAGATTGGGGTTTTTACTTGTACCTATTGAATTTTAATTAATGGCTGAACGATGTGCTCTTTTTTGATGGGAAGTAGTTGATAGAAGTGCGAGATTCCTAGCTAAGGGGTAGGATATTTTGATTGATTAATAACTTTTCGTGTTTTATTTAATATTTCTATTTTATTACTGTTCTATATTTTATTTGTGTTTTATTTAATATTTCTATTTTATTAATGTTCTATATTTTATTTATATTTATTTCTCAAACATTTACGTGTAGATTTTTTCGTAGTGTTAATTTTAAAATTAAAAATAAAATAAAAGACATTGTTAAAAAATTTTGAAAAAAATATATTATTGAAGACAATAAATTATAGTTATGTTTAAAAAAAAGAATTGGTTAAAAATATTAATAAATGATCGAATAATTTGAGTTGAAAGATTGATTTTAAAATTTTTTTGAGGTGTACGCAGATATATGCGAGTGGCTGTATTTAAATATTTTTTATTTTATGACCAGACTTATCATTATTCTGTTGTATTAATAATAATTAATAAAAATTAATAATAAATTTAAATAAATAAATAATTTTTAATAGTATAAAAAAAATATAAACATACATAATTAAATATAAATATAAAAATATAAATAAAGACATATTTAGATATAATTTTATTTGTTACATGAATTTATTTTATTTTTAAGTAAATTTATTTGTAAATAAATCCGAAGATAAACAAATAAATATATTTATTTTTATTTAATCATTTTTTTTTAATTAACATTTATACCATAAATTAATCGTTTTTATGCAAAGCTTTTCTATAAAATTATTTGGGATTAAAAAAATTTGTTGCATCACTATTTTTCTATAAATATTAACATTTTTTCAATATAATTTGAATTTTTCTATGATTTTATGTGTTCCACATTTCCGATCATTCACAAAATGAACTGCAAATAAATAAAATATGTGACGTTATGAAAAAACTTATTTCCTGACAAACAAAAAGGAACCGTTAATTCCATGAGCATAAAAAGGGTAGAAAAATGCGAGAAGATTAGTTCGGTTTGTGACACGTCGCGGTTTTGGTCGGTTCGGCTTTTGGAAAAAAAATTCATTTTATTAATTTTGATGTGCAGTATTAATTTATGTATAAACTTAATAAAAATATTTTATTTTAATTTTATGTATTAAAAATTTGATAACAAATGTATTAAATTTAATGTTTTTTAAAAACATGAAAAATAATCTAGAAAAATGCACCAAAAAAAGAAATCCAAAACTGAAATGCATGCAAAACAAAAACAACAAAGCGCAAATTTCAGTTATATTGGCGCGAACAGAGCTGCTATTGGAATAAAGACGCTAGAAAATCGAGACGCAACTGCGCTGCTTTTAAAACGATGGAACATGAAGAAAAGTGTGATAGTAAATTTAAAATTTTTTAATGTTGATAAAGTTAGTGGCCGAATATAAAGAGAGTCAAAGTTATTATTCGTATGTGTGCAAGACAAAAAAAACAAAGCACAAGTTGTAGCTGTAATGACGCCAGCAGAGTTGCTATTGGAAAGAGACCCTAGAAAATCGAGACGCAACAGCGCTGCTTTTGAAACGATCGAACACGAAGAAAAGTCGAAATAAATTTAAAATTTTTTAATGTTAATAAAATTAGTGGCCTAATAAAATAATTTTGTTTATATAAAGAAAGTTAAAGCTAATATTTCTATGTGTGCAAAACAAAAACAACAAAGTGCAAATTACAGCTGTAATGACGTGAGCAGAGCTGCTATTGGAAAAAATACCCTAGAAAATCGAAACGCAACTGTGCTGCTTTTGAAACGATCGAACACGAAGAAAAGTGGAAGTAAATTTAAAATTTTTTAATATTAATAAAATTAGTCTAATAAAATAATTTTGTTTATATAAAAAAAGCCAAAGCTAATATTCGTATGCCTGCAAGATAAAAACAACAAAGCGTAAATTGCAGTTGTAATGACGCCAGCAGAACGATTGTTCAAATAAAGTTCATACAGTGTTCTGCTTTTGAAACGATCGAAAATGAAGAACAGTGGGATCAAATTGCAAATTTTTTCTGTGTTAATAAAATTAGTGTCATATGAAAATAATTTTGTTTTAAAAAAAGTGAAAGTGGTTTTATAAGAAAAAAAATGTGATAAAATGTGCCTTTAATTTATTTTACTTCAATTAATATTTATTTAATATTCAATTATTTGTAAAATTATTTCAATTAATACGAGTAATCGAGTACCCAACGAATTTGCCCAACACAACAACAAAGGTATGTCATTTATTTATTGTAATTTTAATTCTTTTTTATTTTTAATATTATTTTATATATATACGTTTTTTAAAAAACAAAATTGAAAATATTTATAAAATTTCTTATCCGAGAAAAGAAGTATGTAATGTCGCTAAATAAATTTTATTGGCTTTTATTTCGATAATAGTGGACATAAAAAAATTCAGCAAAATTAAATTTCGCTTATAAATTTAATTTATTGGTGTTGTGCACTGAATATGTCACAAGTCATATAAATCGTACAAATAAATTACATTTATGCATATACGTTTGTGTATATATATTTCACTAATTAAATTTCTAAATTTCACTGTTTTACATATGTATATATATATATTTATATATTGATATGTAATTAAATAAAAGTAAATAAAAATAAAATATTAATATAAAAAAGTGAAAGCGTCAGTTAACAGCACCAAAAAAGAAAAGGGGAAGGAAAAATGTGAATGTTTTTTTTTTTGGAAGTGAATAAAGCTACTTATTTCATATTATATAAGTTTATGTATCTATAACTTACATATATTAGACGTATATCATGACAAACTTTTCCTTATTTTAATTTATTTCATTAATATTATTTTTAAGACATAATGACTTTAAATTATATATTAGAATTATGTATTATTCATAGCATTTTGATTTGAATTCTTCTCGAATATTATGAAAAAATTTTAGAATAAGTTTATCAAGACGCAGTGTTCACAGCGCAGGGAAAGAGACGCTGTGAACTTTATATATCGTAAATACCAGAAAATCCCTCGTACCAATAGTTGCTACTCGTGGCTGAGTAGGCAATTGAAAAATAGAGTTCTATCACTCTCTCAAACAATAATCACGTTCCATATGTCTCTTATTATACCTTTAATATTGTATGTTCCAAAAAAGGACCTATGTCCATAAACATACCTAAGTCCATATATTTAAATTTGTAGCAAACAAAATTCAAACAATTTACTTATAAAAATATATAAGGTTTGTGTAATAACAATCTACTTAAGCAGACAAATAAAATATAACTTATTTCTTCATATCATTCTTAGTTTATGTTAAAGTCCAAAGCTGAAAAATAGAGACTTTACGAGAGACCACGACTTCAGTTTGTACTTTAGCATTACAAACTAAACTATAACACATACGTTTGTCTAAAGAAGTGACTTCTCGAATGTAATTACTAAGATGTACTATTTACAGCTCTCCATTTACTTTTGCAAACAAAATGATAAATGCACTCAACAGATTTATTGCATTATATTCTTTTGATTTTATATTTTTTTGGTGTTTCAAATGAAAGACAAGAAAAAGGTATCAGTTCTGGAGCATTAAGAAGAGTGGTGTCAAAAAAGGGATAGATATCGTGTTTATGTGCTTTATATGCTAAAGTGTAAAGTATATAGTCTAAACGGAGAATATTATACATATCTTATCACGGCTACAGAAAATATAAGAGAAGTAATGTGCGAGGGGCAATTGAAGATGATGTACCTTTAAAATGGTTCATTTATAATCTTTTATTTTAAAAAATGTGACTATTTTCGACTTTTTATTTTAAAGAATTATGAACAAAGTGATATTTGTGACATTACAAAAATCATACTAGTATATAATAATATACAAACTAATTAAACATTTTTAATAAAAAGCTTGAAATTTGCGTGATTTCATTTCATTAGCGATGCATTTCGTGCATTGATAGGCCGCCTCACATGGATCCGGTGCATTTATAAATTTATTGCATTTTTCAGCACTTGCCACAGCAATGGATACCACTAGCACATTATTTTGGGAGACAAGTTCAGCGATGCGTCCAACACTTCGTGTCGATAATCTATTGCTCTTATTCATCTGAAAATAATTAAACATCAATTAAAAATTTTGTTTACATCTAAATTGGAAATAATTTAGATTATAAATCAACTAGAGTATTAAAAAAACTATTTAAAATTATTAAACCTACTATTCCAGATCGCTTCAATATACATTCCAGCAGACATTTCTCTTTTGGTGTTACATTTTCCTGGTATAATAAATTTTTCTCCAGTTCTTTTGGTTGAAAACCCATCTCTGAACCACATTGTTGCTTAATATTTGTTAAATAGTTTCGAAATTCTTTAATAGTATGTGGAGTTCCGCGCTTAGTACGTTTATAATATTGCAATGCAGGGGGATGTTCGGGACTCACTAATGGCTTTCGGTTTAAAATATTCGAAAAGGCTTTCGATCTTGAGCCGTAGACCTGAAATATAAAAATAGTAAATTTTTAGGACTAAAAAACTATACATATAGTCGATATTAATAAATTACGTTTGTTATACTAAGCAATGTTAAATAACAAAAAGTTGTTAATAAAATTGCTGCAGATAGTGGTCTCATTGTTCTCTTTTGTTTAAAGTCTTTAGTCTTTTGTGGCCAAAATATTATTATTCTGAAAATTTTAACTACAATTAACTTTTATAGCAAAATAATAATTTAGTATTTAGTGCTAAGTTAAATTTTTTTGCATTTATAAGCATATTTCATTTTTGATGAAATTGTGTATTTAAATATTAAAAAAGTATTTCTCGTAAAGTTTCAAGTTCAAGTTTTTATAAAGCTTAGCTTATATGTATTATAAAGAAATTAACTTGCATTTTGGAAGGTTAATTTAAGTCTGAAGAAAATAAATACTCTACGAAATAAATTATGCGAAACTCTTTTTATTTATATTTTAAATTTGATTTATCCAACATTTAATTACTTAATTATTTGATTAATTAGTTTTGATAATATTTGCGAAAATGTATATACTGTTTTATGCTCCAATAATTTTGAAAAATGTACTAATATCTCATTTTCCTGCTGTTTAACTACTTTCCCAACGCATTATATACTACATTTTAAGGTGAAGTTCGTGCACGATTCGTAACCGATTTCGTTAAAAGAATTACTACTGGGCCATCGTGTGAATATTTAATTGTCTAAGCCAAATATATATACATATTAGTGTTTATATGCAACGAAAGTACACTGCAAAAAACAGTTGTGCTTTTTATCATAAAAAGATAGCATAAAAGTTCTAATGTCTTCAATGGAAAAGAATATTTTAATTGTCTTTCTTGTTCTTTATGCTTTGACATAGTCCTCTCTCAACCCAATTACTAATGCTTGCATTTGCACTAATCTTTTAAATCAATTTATATAGTGCATTATAAAAGAATATCAAAATATATTTGTTTCTGTTTGATATCAACTATTTGATAAACATCAAATATACAATAAATTTTTATCAAATGGTTAAATATTTGAATAGTGTCCTTCAAATGAATATATTAATATTATAATAAACATAAATCAATATCTAAGAACTACTTCTGTGATATTGTTTAGAATAGGACTGTCCAAAGCATGAGTCTCCGAGTCTTATGCGGCCCGCGCCTGAAATTTGTGAGGTCCGCGACATATTTTTAATCTAACACAATTACGTTAATTTTTTTTTGCTATATTTTGGTTAAATAGCATTATTTCATTTTTATGATATCCTAAATCAAAAAATTAAAATTAATAAATTATTAAAACTAAATAAAACATGAATGTTTGTATTTGTTTTTGCGGCCCTTCAATCTATGCAGTGATTTCTTCTGGCTTGGAATCGGATCTGATCTGGACAACTCTGGTTTAAAATAGTCTTCCTTGTCAACTGTTTTACAAAAGAAATTTGTCAGCAGTTTTCTAAACTAAATTTATAAATTAAGAACCATAAAAGTAAATTTTAAATTAAGTTTCGATTAGATAGTATGTTTGCATCATAACTTTCTCCAATATTATTTATTCATATCTTGTAATTTATATGATAAAACGCAGCAATAAAAAGTGAAACTATTTAGCTAAAAAAGAAAGAATCTTAGAAGTACTATTTTACTATCAAAAAAAAAAACATTTGTGAAAGAAATAAATGTATAGTCGAACCACGAAACAACATAATATTCAGATTCACACTCGCCTTTAAGAGCTTACAGAATATTTTTTTATTCGAAAAGTTGAATTCCTTAACACTCCTTTCATGTGTTTTTACTGGACACTCATACGTTGCATATTTCAATAATGGTTATTATAGACAATAAATACTGCAAAATGTGAGACAATACAGAAAAAGAATGATTATATTAAGTAAATTATTACGCTCAAGTTCTAAGTAATCGAAAGTCCTAGTCATTATGAGAGTTCCACCTGCTAAAATCACTCCGATGTCCGACGGTTTGCCCTCTCGGGATCACTGATTTGGTATTTCGTCAAGAGTACAAATTGCTTGTACTAAGCGCCCCCAAATCGTTGGTCACTTGGTCCTTCCACCGAAAACACGAAAGTCCTCTATCGCGTTTTTCACCTGCGTGTACCAAATCAAATATCTTTCTAGCCGAAGCACTTTCTGCCATTCGCACGACATGACCAAATTAGCAAAGCGTCAATATCGCGGTATAGCTTGTATAGCTCTAATATTGCATCTAATTCGATACTCGTCGCCAACACGTAAGGGACCATAGATCTTCTAAAGAATTTTGATCTCAAATGCTCCTAATACCTTTCAAGCTTCTATAGCAGAGCAGGCATGATAAGAAACTTATAGAGCGTGATTTTTGCTGTCGAGAGAGGGCTTTATTTCTCAGTTGCCTACTTAGCCCGAAGTAACATTTGTTGAATCTGTTGGCTGACGCCATTTTTGATGTTTACGCTGGTTCCCAAATAAAGAAAGTCTTTCACAACTTCGAACTTATAATTGTCTACAGTAACATAGGTTCCAAGACGCTTAGAAGATCATTTACCACATGAACCATTTGCTTGTTTTTCTAAGGTGGAAAATGTGATACTAAATTATGTCTTTTTGATTTTTCAGTGATATAAGGCTTATTTGAATACTTAAATTTACTAACAATTTCTCTCGTAAACGTCTGTGTATCTTTTTGTTTAAAAAGACATAAATTAACAGAAAATTTATTACATATAAAAATATTTTTTTCTTAAACAAAATATTTTCTTCTTTTTATATTAAAAAGAGAGGTTTTTCAAATATTTCTCATAACGCTTTTTTTCTATAGGTTGATTTTAAGAAAAATCATGCTTTGAGAGAGAAGAATAAGAATTTAGGCAGGGATGTCTAAGACAAAACTATGTTATTTATTGAAAACACGACATTCACATTTAATGGAATGAAAATCTTTTATTAACCCTTTGAAATCTCAATTTTCGAGAGACCCATTATTGTTAAAAACCTAGATACCTATAGGAAACACAGGTTGCAAATTCAAACTTAATAATTTCAAATTAATATAAAAACGTTGAAAAAATAAAAAAGAGAACGAAAGACTTAGATTTCGTCTCATATGTTTTAAATCTTAATCAAATCGACAAATGAAAGGCAATACTTTTTATGTGTAGGGCCTTTACAAAATATTTATTAGAATATTAGAAAAGTTTTCATTTTGATATATGGTATATACACATGAGTAATGCATGTCAAATTTGAAAGCAGAGACGAAAAAATTATTTAGTACCTAACAATTATTTTATATATAACACAATTATCTAAGTAAAGAGCATTTAGCTTCAGCAAAGCTAAATGCTATTTTTTTTGTTATATATTATTCAAATAATTATTATTTATAAACTATGAGTCGCATCCCATTTTTTATATTCAGTGCAATAAAAATATTTATTGTATTTTTCTGAGAAACGAAAAAAAGTCAAAAATATTGAAGAGTAACAAACCTTGACAAATTATATTATTTCAATTTTCACACATTTCTTGACTTAATTATATTCTAACCAAGTGTTTACAAATCAATTTATTAAAAATCACAGAATGCTGCAAAACGAACTAAACTGTATAGGTTCAAATAGTTCTAACTTAGTTAAGCACAGTCAGTCGCAAAATTCTCACCAAAGTAGCCGCGTTAAGTTTCTTATTGTTTTAATGGTGTTAAACGGTGGTGGTTCGCGCAACGGTGAGAATATACATTATATAATAATAATACCCAATTGTGATCATTTAAATTTTTTAAATTAGGCGCACATGCTCGTGCCTTTGCAGGTGGTGCTGCGTTTGCTGGTGGTGCTGCGTTTGCTGGTGTACCAGGGGCAGGCTTTTTTCCAGGTTTCCCGTTTCTCCCAGGTACGCCAGGTGCTCAAGGTGCTCCAGGTCCAGCATTCTTTCCAGGTTTTCCATTTTTACCCGGTACTCCAGGTGCACCAGGTACTGTACCATGTGCACCTTATTTTACGGGTTCTACAGATGCACCAAATGCATCAGGTAATGAATACAGTTATAGCTTTGCCGGTGTAGATTCAAATGGAAATTGCTTTGGTTGTACTAGAGGTAATGGTAGATATTTTGTAAGTTGCAGGGATGAAAATGGTAATTATTATGAAAGGAGTGGTGATTCACAATCGTCATAAAATGTAGTACACTTTCTACATTGTCAATATATATAAATATACAATTTATATAGTCATCAAATTATAGTATAATATTTGTTAAAGTTAAAGTAATAAAATTAATTTATTTTTTATAAGCAATGTCTATTTAATATTTAAGGATTTTAAATAAAAAAAACATTATTTCCTACATAAATTAAAGCGTGGGCCTCAAGTAGTGCTTTTAGAATTTCACGTTGATTCGTTTTTAAATGCTAAGTACGTTTAGCTGTAAATAAAGAAATGCTATTGTGCAATTTTAATTATTTTTATTATATAAAGAAATATTTTTCGAAATGGAGTTTGGAGTTCAACTAGCAATTTATATTATTTTTAAAAATATTTTTAAATCTTCAGGTGAAATATTATAAGCAGAAACTATCTGTTATATAAAGAAACTATATATAATATAATAACTCAAAATATTCAAAATTATTTTTATGAATATATATAAACAAGTCAAACGTTCAAATTTTTCTTACTACCAAGTGAACTTACTAATCTGAAAATATTTGTATGTTTGTATAAAGTATCATACAAATATTTAAAAACAACACTGATTATAATAAGCCATAGAGTTTGAATTTATAATAAATTGTCAGCAGCGAAATTAAAAACAAATATTGACACCATGTTTTTACTTGGTTCATTTGGTCAGTTTTGCTCATTAAGTTCGCTAATGAGTACAATTTAACATACAAAGCACTTTTATAAAAATGAGCTCATTATAAATAAATGAATTGATTTAAGGAGAGAAATGTCGAATGCAAATTTCCCAGAAGGGAAATTACCAAAATTTAAAATATTTGTCATATGTTTTATATCTAAATTGTAAACAAGCTATTTTATGTGCATAAATCAGTTTATGCATTCAATCAGCTTATTGGTCATTAACCAATGGACTTAATCTTAATTTCATTAACATAACCCTGAATTTCTCTCTACGTGTGTTATTATCTAAATAAAATAAGTTTGCCTAAAAACACTTCTATTATATTTAGATTTTGACCTTAATATAGACTTTAGTTTCGTTAATTACAACTTTATTGAAATAAAAATTCTGACAAGATATATACGAGTATGAATCTGAATCCTACCATCTTATCAAGATGAGAGTCTAAGGTGATAGATAATCAGCTTTGATCGAAAACTAATGACATTTCTAATCATATTTTATTAATTCATACCAGAAAAATAATACAGGCCTGGGAGAATCTATACCCATTAGGTATTTGAAAAGCCAGAAACGAGAGTTTTTTCTGCCCTTAATTTGAGAATCTAATTGTCCTCTATTTGGTTAAGGGTTAGTTATTATCATAAAATATCCACCATGCTCATAGTGCTATGCTAATATAAGAAGGATCCAACGTTTTTTATCACTAGTTGATTTGCCTATATCAAATGAACATTCGGTTCAACGGCAGTATTCCGGTCGCTGTTTTTTGAAAAGGCAATACTGTAGTTCTTTGTTCTTATTAAACTTTATTTTAATATCAAAATGAGTGAAATGTCTAAAGACATATGGTATGTGATACATTATTGCAATTCAAAAATTGTGAGGGTTATGATAGTCACTCTATTTTTAGTGATTAGCAGACTAAAAACGTCAAAATTTTGCAACTGTTGTGGCAAGAACAATATGCAAGCTATTAGAAGACAATAGAAGAGTTTAACGACAATCACATGATAGTTTAGAATTATATAGAGATACTAGGCTATAGAAAAATGCTCGATATTTGGGTACCACATAAAATTAAAAATTTAGCGAAGAAATTTGATTGATTAAATTACAATCAATGAATCTCTAATTAAACACATTTAAATGGTTCGAAATCGTTCGAAATCGAATCATTTAGGAAGCGAATCATAACGGGCAATTAAATATGAAAATATTCAAAGCAAAAGATCATTGTCAAAGATCGGAGACAGTTCAGAAACGAATTTAAACCATAAATTGGCGGTCGTTTTGTTCTCTACTACTCACAACACAACCGCTTGAACGAAACAAGCAATGAAAACCGACCAGAATTGGAGAATAGAAAACGTATTGTTTTCCAGCATAGCAACGCTTCATACATATTTGATGACCCGGAATAAATTAATGGAACTTTATTGGGAAATTTCGATGCATTTACGGTATATTGTGGGCCTTATATCATCTGATGCCCATTTGTTCTGGTCTCCGCAAAACTCTCGTGATATAAGAAAATTGTCTTAACAAAGAGCCGCAGAAAATCACATGGCCACAGAAGTTTTTCACCTATTGGAATTATAAATTATTCCCAAAAAGTAACGATAGATCATAAATATTTGTGGCCTACATAAATTTTATTGAAATAAATTTTCAATACAGAAAATGTTTGTTCAAAAATGTACCAAAAAATGGTGGATACTTTTTATATCACCTAATATTTTTAATTTTATTCAATATTGTATGTAGTTATCGCTCGAAAAATATCGTTTAAATTCTTTTACGAAAAAGCTATATATATTTATATTTCAAAAATATATTCAAATTTAATATATATGTTGATCCTTTTTTCAAGTCAGCGCAACTGGACACTTTTACTCTTTGATAGCTGGAGGTATTACAGGGTCCCACCCATCTCATTGACTAATGTATGTATTGCCTATAAGCTTCATGATTATTCAGTGATTGATCTAAGATCTGCGTACCTCCCCGTGCGGAGAGTGATTACTCAAATGAATATTATTCAAATGAATATTAACAATATTATTTGAAATTATCATCTGCAATGTCAAGGTTATGGGATGAAGTTCACTGTACATTTGTTTTTATTTTGGAAGATTTTCAACTACACAATTTGTAGTAATTATTCTTCTTTTATTCTTCTTAATGATAAGCAAATTACGTATGACAATCTGTAATATTTACGTCGAATTAAAAATCGTTTTCAGGGACCATAATTTTAAAATAATAACATGTTACTCATTATATCATTATTTTTGTTTATATGTATTTACATTTATATTTATACGTCTGTCATTCTATTTGATGAACTTTAACCTTAGTACGTTTGCAGAACAGAGTCACAGTAAAAGAGGGTCTTAGATTTGACTACGAATGGGAAAATAGTCAAAAATTGTATTGAGAAGTGTTTTTTAAGATTAGATAAATTAATATACAATATATTAATATAATATATATTTTATTTATTTAATATCATATTTTTTGTTGGTGATAAAAAAGTAAACGGAAGTTGTTCTATTTTTTAAATATTCCTTAAGTTTTAACTGGAAGTATAAAAATTATATATATCATATAAATATATTTATAAATAAATTGACAAATATTATAATTATTATATTATAATTATTATAAATAATTGACAATAGATAATAATGGTTATTGCATATAATATGTTTAATAAACCTTTTGTGTTAATATTATTACTGCCCAATTTTAGTAAAACCTTTTTAATAATATTTTAAATTTTAAATTTAATGTTCTACGATATTGATTTTTGTTTAAATTTAACTTTACTTAACAAAATTTTTGTTCATGCTTTTTTTTTTTAAATTTTGATCCACTTCTTTATAACTCAAAAATCAGTGTCTTCTAATCATTCAGTAGGACATACAGTTTTAAGAATAAAATTACGCACAAATTTAGTACAAATTTTTTCTCGTTTTTTACTCATTTCTATTACTTCAGTATGATTTAACATGTCCTTTAGATCATATTGATCAATGCCAGTAGTAGTTATTAAACTGAAACCCATAACTCTCATATTACAATGCCTAGCTACTATAACTTCATGCGACGTAGACATGCCGATAGCATCAATTCCTAACTTTCGTAGTATTCGCTGCTCTGCAATGGTTTCATAGTTCGGTCCACTAAGGCAAGCATAAGTGCCAACGCGAAAATAATTATTCATTTCCATTTCATCCGCTACTTTTAATGCTGTTTTGCGCAGTTGCTCATCATAAGCTGTCGCCATGGGCGGAAAACGGGGACCGAACTCTGCAAGGTTAGTGCCGTTAAGTGGACTATTGCCACAAAGCGCCATAAAATTTATATGATCACGGAATAGCATAATATCACCAATGTTATATGTCATATTGACGCCTCCAGCTGCATTTGTTACAATCAGAATATCAACTCCAATCAACTTCATCACACGTATAGGAAATGTGCATCTTAATAATGAATAGCCTTCATAATAATGAGTGCGGCCCTGCATTGCCAATGTGGGGATTTTTTTAATGTAACCAAAAACTAAACGTCCATAATGACCTTCCACATTTGTTATAGGAAAATGTGGTATTTTCCTATATTCAAAAATCTTCGTATTGGTTAAAACATCAGCCATTTTATTTAAACCACTGCCGCAAATAATGCCAACTATAGGACGTATATCAGTTTGCGACTTTAAAAAATCGGCTGTTTCTTTCATTTTATTGTATTGACATATGGTACAAATAAATTTCTTACAAAGGGAAATAGAAAGTTTGATATTTCTAAGTATTAGGTAATTTGTGTAACTAAGAAAACACATTTTTTGCATAATTCTAAACAAACCAATACGAAAGTATTTACCAACATCTGGTACTTTATTTTGGTTGAAGTTTGTTGTTTTGGTTAGTTTTTGGTTACATGAATCCCAAAATTTTGAACTTATTTTAAGAAAGATAAGAAATTAAAAAATCAGAACGAAATTACAAACTTGAAACGAGTTTTAAAACTACTTTGTTAATTTATTCTAAAATGTCATATTTATCAGTTAAATTAATTATATATTATTATAATGTATTATTATATTGAGGCTAGTTGAGTCAGTGCACTTGAGCATTTTTACTCTCTATTAACTGCGAGATTTCTTCATAACACCTTTCTACGCCTTAACTGGATTATTGTTTATCACTTGTTCAGACTAAGCAATAACAGACCACAGATCTGCATACCTTCTCGAGGAGCCTGTAAATGTTCTGAGATTCGATAACGCGCTGTTGGTAAACCTGTAAGTTTTCGTAAATAGTTTCAGGGCTATATACCTTATGTATTTTTATAACAGATTAATCTTTAGGTCCCTGAGGACATCATTTGGCTTTATGCAATTTCTAGTTTGCGAATAGTAGTGTAATATATAGAACTATATATTATAATATGTTACTATGTTACTAATGTATTATATATTTCTGGTTTAAGGTCTACAAAATATCTTCAGCGGTTTAATACCTTTATCCTAAAGAAATGTTAAGTGATAACTAGCCATATTTCACAGATTGCTTTGTAAAAAAAATTGACAATGAACTAATAAAATTTCTCCAACAATTTAAAAGAAAGTACCAGGGTTATTATATCTTGATATTTTCGCAAGTATGTAGATAACATAGGGCACTTTGTCTGTTATTTCTTAACATTATCACTGATTAGATTGAGTTTTGTTGAGTCCCAATCTACTAATAATGACAATGTTCTTGTTCTCTTTCATCGGATGATCTTTGATTCATTTAGATAATCAAGTAAAGTTAGTATAGCTGACACCAACTTCATATTACTTTTAATATCAGCCGTTTTTGGGCTTGGCACAATAGTCAATTGATACAGTTCCCTGGTTGATTCTATACTCAAGCATAATCAGTGTAATATACCGACATAATAACATTTGTATGTATATAGTAAATATCGAAATCGTAATAGAATACATATTTTTATGAAAATATAATTTTGGATTTTCTGTTTTTTAATAAGAAATTTGTTTCTTTGTCTTACTTTGTATAGATATAGTATTATAAAAAAATGTGATAATATGTACATATATTCTCCAAAGAATAAGTTAGTCTTATAAATATTTCAAAGTAAAACTGCCTCCCTTTTTTATTTATTTATTTAATAATTTAATTATTTATTTATTTATTATTAATAATATTTATTAATATTAAAATATTTTATATTTATATTAGTATTGAAATATTAATATATTAAATAAATAATATATTAATATATTAAATATTAATGTTTATACTGCATGATTAAACCCTTTAGTGTTTTTTATTACTCCACCTTTTCTATACAAGAAAAATTATTTTTTTTTCTAATCTCTTTTCAAAAAATACATTATTTGAACTAATTAACTCTTTGTATATGATGACGTCACATCTTACATTTATTTAAGTTTAACTTTGAATGAATTTACGTTTTGGTTTTATATAAATATTAGATTATAACATAGTATATATATGTACATGAGTTTTTAATAAGCCGTAAATAATTACTCAGACCAAGTTCACTACTCAGATCGATGACAAATTTCAGTTGGTGGATCCAACACATCTACATATAAAGCAAGTCACAAGCAGATACAATAACTTTGCAAATACAGGTTTTGTTTTAAGTTTGGGAGACTGTCTACAGTATTGTTTTATGAGTAATAATTACTAACGAATGTTAGTAAAGCTAACATGATAAGACTACACTGGAAAAAAAAAGAATGAAAATAAATTAAGAATTCAATTTTTTAAATTAAAAAAAAATAAAATTAAAAAATAAAAAAACTATTTTTATTTGTTGATTTTAAACAAAAATTATAGTTTATTTATTTAAAATATATATATGAGTATACTTAGCAGACCTCTTCAGCATTATTTATGTTTTGATTTATTAATTTAACAAAAGTCAAGAGATAAAAACTTAGATCAGACACAACAAAGAAGAACAGTGGTTGTCATATAATATTATGTTTAATTTCATTATATTGATAAATTTCTTCATCTATATAATTATGATAAAAATTGTATAAAAAGTCAAAGAAAGCCTTGTTAGAAGATTTTAAATAAAATTAAAAATATTTTTTGCCAAACATCACGGAATCATATATATAATATGTAAGGAATTGCAAGAGTATGGCAGACCCATTAATTTAAATATGCAATTTTAACCTAAAAAAGATTTGTTCAATTTATTTACATTTATAATTATCTTATTTAAATCAAAACAAAAGGGACCATAGTACTCCAATTATCCTTATCACGATCTCCAAACATCAGTTTTTACCAACGAAGTTTAAAACTACTACAATATTTTAAACCTGTTTCATATAAGTAAAAGCTTAATTCTTATTCCATCACATCAAATTGGTTTTGAAATTAAATACTCAACAATTAAGCAATTATATAGGGTAAATAAAGCAGTAGAGAAATGCTAAGAAGTTAAGGATAAAGTATGCCTTTGATAAAGTTTGGCAGTTCGAATTAATAAATACAATATTTTCTCTCATCTGACATACATAAGTGATATTCAAGAATCGTATTTGTTTGATTTATACTTTCGTGCCAAAGCAAGCACTAAAATTAATTCCATTAAAGTAGATATTCCTTAAAGTCATATATTTGGGCTAACATTACTAGGGCCACTATTTTCAAATATAACTATTGTCAAACAACAGTTGACACTGCAATGCATTCTCCTCAAAGTAGAGAAGCGGAATCAACCTTATAATTTCAAAGTTATGTTAACGAAGTAGTGCAAGCTAGTGTTAACAGAATGGAAACTCTAGTGAATAATACGAAATAAATGCACATAATCTTTGCCAAAGAAATACCAAACTAGCTTGGAATGGCCCTGGCCACCAAGCGAGTTAAATGTAAGACTATGAGAACTTAAATAGCTTAAGGATCAAAATTTACTTTTTCCAATTCAATTTAAGTCAATATTATCTAACAAAATATTGAACTAGATATATGGCGATTTAGAGTCATGCTAAGAGTACGTACTTAAAAGTCATTCTAAATGAGAGTCCTTCTTTCTTTAGCCAATGTATCCTGGTTATTAACCTTCACAGTGACCATAGTGTGTTTGATATCAATAATATGTTAAATTTATGTGTCTGTTAAATGTATAACTGAGGTATAACTAAACCATCACATTTATTTTCACTTTAGTATTAATATTTATAATATTAGTATTCGTTTTCAGTAAATATTCATTTAATAATTTTTTTTTTTTATTTCTCTAAGAAACCATGAGGTTAATGACATTATTTGCATAATATGAAAAAAGACATTGCAAACGATACAATCTGGTTAGTTACTAGCTCGATACCAAATAAAACGGGTAACTTATGTCCTCTTGTGGAGTTATAGACACCAACGTTAACTTTGCATTATGTTTAACTTACTCCGTCACTAACATTGCGCTGTAATGTGTTTTAATAACTGTTCTCTGATTTTCATTTATCTTTTTCCCTACAATACACCATAGTTGGTTCATTAAATTCTTGCGAGATTAGGACCATTACGGAAGAGAAGTGAGAAGAAATATGTTTAATAGAGTAATAAAACTTAGAGATACTTCCTGAAAGTCATACCTCTTATTACGTTTGTCTGTCCAATTGTGTCTCTTTCATTTGTGATAATAATATACAACAAATATTGATATATGTATATATCTAATATAAATAAGAATTAAAGATCTCTTAACAGAAAAAGATTGCAATCTTAGTGAAGCTGGATAAAATATACTTTACTTTAGCTCAGTATATGGTATTGAAATAATTTTGGTTTTTGTATTTATACACAAGTATATAGTTCGTATACATATAATGATGCTTATAGTGGTACAAATTAATGAAACCCTATATTAAATATACGCCGCCATGCACTATTCTAATTTTTTTAATATTTAAGTTGGTTGTTCTAGGCGTTGTAAATGAAATTATATTAAAGCTATATTTTGTAAATATTTAAAATAATCAAAACAATGATAAATAAAATATTTGAATTCTTAAAATTTTTGTCAAAATAATATACAGACAAAATTTCCTTGTCTTTTAAACTTAATTATTATCTATCAAGCGTGTACAGAGTAATTTAAAAAAAAAACCAAACAAACTCAGAACTCTGACTTAAGTTTGCAAACTGAAATTATTCTCGTTTAGTCGAGCACAGACACTTGCCAAGTTATGATGAAAGTATTCGCATTTGTTTTTGTTATTGTGTCGATGGTAATGAACGGTTTCACTCCATGCACAGGTGAGAACTTGTTTTTCTATAAACAAACGTTTTAATGCAAATATTTTTAATAAACTTTACATATATTAGCACAATCAGCCGCTTGGGCGGAAGCTTCTGGTGGTGCTGTTGCAATTGCTGGAGCTCCCGGGCAACCCGGAGCGCCAGGGGGTGAATACAGTTATGGCTATGCCAGTGTAGATTCAAGAGGTCGCACCTATGGTGGCGCTGGTGGCAACGGTGGTTATTACGCAAGCGGTGTTGATGAACATGGTCGCTTTTATGAGCATAGTGGTGGTAATGGTGGTCGAGGAGGCGCACCCGGACAACCAGGTCAACCAGGTGGTAATGGTTACAATGGTTACGGTGGACCTACAAGCTATGATTACCCTTATCACCATCGTAATTTTGCAACGGCAGTGAGTTTTAGTTTTCCGACCTTTATGATTCCTATTTTCTTATTGTTGTTTATGTTTTATCAAAATTTGTAAATAAATATATCTAAGTATCTAAAATAAATCTTGTTTGTTTGTTAAATAAACTTCATTAGAGAATCATAATCTGATTTCAAAATAATTACATTAACGTGACTAAGTTACTAATTTATACGCAAATACTTGTATCTATAAAAAAAGCATAAAATCAAGATTTTATTACAAACTGAAAAACTGAGTCAGTGAAATGACGACGTTTTTTTAAATTGGCCAATTGATGAGACTTAAGGTAATTTTTTTGTTCAAAAAAATTAATATAATTTTATGTCATTAAACCATAGAAAATTGTTTCAATGATATTTTTTATACTCATACTGTCTAATGTATAATTTAAATTTATATTAATTAAGCAAGTAATTTGTTTGGCTAAGGTACTTGCTTTCGTTGCAGCAAACAGAAGCAGAGATAGGCAGGAAAAAAACTCATTGTCTTAGTCACAAAAACTTTAAGCAATTTAGAACTTAATTACCTTATAGTAATATATTTTAAATAAATTTCTGTTTTTATATATTATACTAAGATGATAGTATGTTCAATCCCTCTTCGCCTTGCAACTTAATTAAATGAGAACTGGGACTCTGAATCACTTTTTATGAACGCTTCAAATGTATATTGGTATTGTTAATGATTATGAATTTACATATAAATAAATAAATGTATATATATCTTCATATAAAATAAAAGTGTAGTTATATTTATGTAAATATTGTTTATATACCGCAGACATGTAGATGTGGTTTTTGTTATAATCAAAATAATAATTAATATAAATTTTTGAGACAACCACTAATTGAACTTCATTCAATTATAATTCCGCCACTGCATATTTAGGTTAAAAATATGTACATACTATGTATGTATATATTTCCATTATATGCATGAATAAAAATAAATTACTTTATTAATTTAAATTTCCATATATATTTAAAATGAAAATCAATGAACTGACAATACTCTCATATCGTTATTACAATAAAAACACTTAGAAGTTTTCTTATGTAGGAGATAGTATATAATGTGATATTTTGCTTTGGGCAAAATGCAGATAAGTGAAGTAAAGTGTTACTTTTACAATTTAAAATATGTAGTTTACAAAAGCTCTGGCCATCAACGCTGTATTAGATTCTGCATTATGGTTTTACAGAAAAGTTTTTTTAATTATTCTTTTTATTTTCCTAATTTTCCATTTTTAAGTGCTATTACTGGCTATTGGTTGTTGTTTATTTTAGTGTGTACATATATTTAAGATAAGCTGAGCATGAATGCATTCATGCCTCTGCGTTGTTGTTGTTGTTGTTGTAGTAACCCGCTGGGACCTGTAAGCAGATAAACATGAAAGGAAACACAAGACGATTACATGAGTAGGGAATGGGAAAGATTAGATGGGTAGTAGGGGAGACAAGGGGGAGAGGAGAAAGGATGAGGAAGAGTAGGGATAAGGAATGTATATGAACCTTCATCCTGGATCCAGGCGGAGAAACCTGGCCACTTCAATGGGGTGAGTCCAAGGGTTAATTGGATGAAGATTAGTGTGTGCAGAAGGATATGAAAACAGATGGGCGACGGTATGCCTCTGCGTTATATGTTGTGGCTTACTAAGTAATGTGATTAGTATTTGTTTAATATAATAATTTTGTTTTAAATTGTAAAGTAAAAATATTCAATTAGTGGATATCTACAAGGTAGTAACTTAAGTCACTCTAGAATGATGTTATTGCTCAGTCTGATCTAAATGACCTTAACAATTTTTTCTAAAAAAAATAAGCGGTAAAATTACATTAGTACATTAGTTATTTGCAATAATTTGTTTATAAATTATTCTGTTGTTATTATGTATTAATCTGTTTAATACTAAATATTATATTACATATTCTTATATATGAAGGTATCTTAACCATGATCACTTCTGAGATGAAATTCAATGAGATAATTAGTGAGATAATGAAACTTTAATAAAAGCATTTTAAACTTTTCACGCTACAAGCTAAACTAAGCTTTTTAATGACGCAAGTATCTTAAAATTGTAAGTCTTTAATAATGCATCAAGAGCTTTTTAATTATGAGCTTTGGTTATAAAAGCTTTTTAGTGCTTTGAGGAAAAATACAATCATATAAACATATAATTTTGCTTTGAGCACTGATCAAGAATTTTAAAAAATTAAAACAGAATTGCTGTATCATTTTACGTATACCCCTTTTCCAATATATAAACTTTCATTAAGTTTATTTTTTTCTTATTCATTCATTTTTAAAAATATATAATAAAATACAAATAAAAATACAATAAAAAATGACGTAAAAGATTTTTTCAGAACGGGTTTAACTTTCGATTTAAATAAGCGTCTTAAAACTTGATAAATTAATAACTTAATATAACATACTAAATAATTAAAAAAACAATGCACTTCAACTATTCAATACAACAAAAATTTTGAAGTTTATTACTAGAAGTTTAAGTATATATGATTCATACCAAAAACTAAAATACGTCATTTTAACAAATATAAAATATTTGAACCGATAAGAATTTATATATTGTATAAATTTCATATAGTTACTAACTTATTTAAACGCCTATAACAACCTGTTACCACGTTTTGACCTGACGCAGTATGTTCTTTCAGACACGCCTCTCTGTGTGCGTGTTTTCTCCAGTTTTGTACATTAAATTCAATTAGTGCTCCTTCAAATTGCTCACTACACCGAAGACACGATCTACCTCTACGGAGGAAGTAGGCGAAAAATACCTTTCTCGATGGATCATCATCATCTAATCTCTAGAAATTACCAAGTCAGAAAAGCAGCTGTTTGTTAACTATATCAATGTCGTGGTAAAGCTGATTTAGTTATGGTTCATTCGGATACAGTAGTCGTTACAATATTATACAGGACCATAGATCTTACAAAGAACTTTTCTCTCGAAAACTCACAGTGCTGTTTCATTATTATATAATAGAATTCAATTCTTTGTTCTATACAGAATACAGATAAGATGAGCGATAAGATGAGCGAAAACTTAGAGCGTAAGTTTTATTTCTTAAGAGAGAATCCTACATCTTAATTGCCTAATAAGCCCACTTATTGACAATGGTGATTTTTAGTCTGATCTCCAGAGATTGTTTTTGTTTGTTACGTCGGTGCTAAGGTACATCAAATCCTCGATAGATTTAAGAGTACAGTCGCCAGCCACCAGCTCGGCGTCCGAGCGACTAATAGCTGACATATTTGTCATTTTGTCCTCATTCATCATTCAGCCAACATTCGTAGGTTGATGTAAGTAGTTTTACGAATTTTTAGAATTGCTGACTATTCCTATATAGAATATAATGCAAAATTTGAGTACTATGTACATGCGTACAGCTATATATTATGTAAATAAAGTGCAATAGCTTACAGGCAACTCGACATTAAAATATTCTTTCGTTCATTAAAACTTAAATATATAAATAACAAAACACTCCACTAAATATATAAACTAAATTCAAAATAGAATTGCAGAGTTATTGAAGATTTTTAGCGGATACTGTTATTATTATTTCACACAATCTTTGGGGTACGGTGTAAATTTGTTTTTTCTTATTTCTTCTTCGTTTGTTTTTGGATAAACACTGGTTAGGAAGCAGCTCCAGTACGTCTATTCTATTTTCAATAAACCAAATGAGGTTTAGACAAGGTACGAAGAGATGTTGTGAGGTTTTTCAATTGCTTTAAATTGTGAAGGTTGGTTTAGTAGAATCTGTTCAGTAATAGCATAATATGTTAGTACGCAATGTGAAATTGTATTTTGTAATAATGAGAATAATGAGTGAATTTGTGCAAGTATGAATAAATATATATCAAGTTGTCTTAGCTAAACCAACATTCAATGCAATTATTTGTAGTTAGTAATATGGAACGAAGTCCTTAAATAGAACATCCATAATAATTTGTTTGCAATGTTTATCGTTTGTAAAACAAATGCTTTTAATATCCACTATCCTAATAGCGAAACGTAGCCCAACCTCTTAGAAAAATCAATTTTAAAGTTGTTATAAAATTTAATATTAACAAAAAAAATTAATAATTTCTAAAATAAATTCAAGTATTAAATAAACCTGATTTAACCTGTCATTAATTATCAGTGCGACAACTATAAATACCACGGGTTAGAAATGAATGCTCATCACTTCATAGTTCCAAGTCAAAGAATACGAAGCGGTTGAATTTTAAGAAAAATGAAGTTTTTATTTGCTTTCTTTTTAGTATTAAGCGTAATTGCAATTTGTCTTGGTAAATATTATATTTTTTTTATTTATCTTATAACTATTATATGTTTTTTCTTAGGCGTTGATCCAAAGGTACTGCAATCTTTACCGGCCTCACAACCTCAACAAAAAACTAACGATAAACCCAGTCATAGCGGACATGTACCTGGTTATATAAAAAGTGTATTAGGACGTTAAGTCAAAATGAAAATAATTGAATTTTATATAAAAATAAAAAGAAAATAATAACTAATACGATGATAAAATGTATAATTTTCACTGCTTGGCTTATTAAATTTAAAGTGTGAGTTGGATAAGTTTCTTTTGATGGGGCTTTATTATTGTTGAAATATGCAAAACGTGAATGATATCATTTAAACTTAATTAATATTACAAAAACAAGTCATAGTCTCAGTGCTCTTAATATCTACAGAGGTGAATGTTGAAACCTATTGTGTGGTTGGTTAGTTGGTATAGCTTCCTTTTCTGTAAATATACTTTAAATATACATTACTTATTAGTGTTTACTGCTAAGTTATTCTTTTACTTTTTTTAAATATATCCATTTTTTTGAGTTCTAGATTTTTGACATCTTTTTAAGTGCTTCTTCGTTATAGGTGTTATTCTCAAAACGCACCAATATACCTAATATTTATTTGAAAAGGGATACGTTACTTGTGATCTGAACTAAAAATATGCCTGCGCAAAAATAGTTTGATTCCTGTCTTGTAGGATGATTTATCTTTCGCATTAAAATAAACCCTTAGTTTCAACAAC